GTGATCGTCCGTAAACTAGGACAGACTAGGTAGAGATGGCAGGCAAAGCTTAGAAGAAAGGAGCAGAGACCCAGAAGCCGTTCTCCTAAAAGCTGCCTATGAAGTCTGCGGCAAAGAATGAACTAGAACCACTCAATGAACGCTTCGCTTCTCTGAGGTGGCCTGAAATGGACCTAATGTTTCTGGAGATAATTGGGTTTTTGCAGGTTTTCTGGTTTGGGGTTTGCATTTTTTTTTTTTCCTTCCATAGACTAGGATTGGACTGGGTATATATTTTGGAGTAGTTTAAAAGTCACGGGGGTGATCCTGAACTCCAGAGGCATTGCAGTGCTTTAGCAATGCTGCTGAAGCTGTGAAGGAGGTGATTGTTTTAGCAGCGTTTCAGGCCGTAGGGAAGGCTGGTTGCTGGTGTGAGCTGTCACGCCTTCTCCATATGATTTCAGAATACTGAAAACTGAACTTTGTTTCTTAAAGCGTGCTTGACTTTTATAAGATCTTTTTGTGCCCCACTAGGGTTTCGTGTCCACTCTCAACAGGAGCACCCTTCCTTGTGGTAGGCTCCACTGCGGTAGATATTGGAGCATTTAGTTACAGAACTGTTGGAGTTGGAAGGGACATCTGAAGATAAGCAAGACCAACTCATTGCTCAGAGCAGGGTCAGCTGGAGCAGGTTGTCCAGGACCGTTGCCAGTCTGGTTTTGTGTACCTCCAGTGCAGACACCGCAGCCTCTCTGGGCAACGTGTTCCCATGTTTCATCACTGAAGCACAGGAAGTTCCGTCTGAACATGAGGAAGAACTTCTTCCCTCTGAGGGTGACGGAGCCCTGGCCCAGGCTGCCCAGGGAGGCTGTGGAGTCTCCTTCTCTGGAGATATTCCAGCCCCGCCTGGACGCGGTGCTGTGCCCCCTGCTCTGGGTGACCCTGCTTGGGCAGGGGTTGGGCTGGGTGACCCACAGAGGGTTCTGCCAACCCCGACCATGCTGGGAATTTGTGATTCTGTAAAAGCCTTCCAGTAGTGCTGCGGTTTTGGTTGCGCAGAAAGATCAGTTTTAAGATGGCGTTTGCAATATTTATTGTTTGCTAAGTAACATGGTTTATCCCTCAGAAGAGATTATCTTCAGGGCTTTCTAGGGTGTTAAATCCAGCTCTCCGTTCCTACGAGGGCGGCCATTTCTGGAACAACCCTTCATCGTGCGTCGTGGGGATGCTTCTTCCCCTCTTGTCCTTGCTGGCTCTGGTTCTGCTTTCCTCTCTCCATCCCGGAGCGACTCGGTGTTCAAGTCACCGGATTTTGGTGAGAGCCATCAGCGTTGCCGCGCGGAGCGGCTGTGTGACGGCCGCAGCTCGCTGGGTGCGAGGGGGTCAGCCCGTGGGCACACCCGAGGGTGGGCTCTGCGCGCGCCCCGCCGGTGCGGGGTGTGTTTGCCGAGGGCTGCACCCACATTGGCACGGCGCGTTCCTTTCGGAGGTGTCACGAGAGAATTATTCAGGAAGCCTTATTCTTTATTTTAAAACTTTCTAAGTTACTTCATAGCGATGTTTGTCTTAATTTTTCCCTCTCGCTGAACGTGCAGTGTTGTCAGCCAGGAATGAGCAGTTTGAATTCCATTTCCCACCTGTGATTGCTGCGGTGAATGCGCGAAGGCCTTGTTCGTTCGCACCAAGAATTGTGTGTTACCCGCTCTGCCTTACCCAGTTCTGCAAGTTGATCAGACAAAGAAATAGAGATTACTCACTGCTGGCGGATTTGGGTACTCACCTTTAGCTCACAGAATCACAGAATGTTCGGGGTTGGAAGGGACCTCTGTGGGTCACCAAGCCCAACCCCCTGCCCAAGCAGGGTCACCTACAGCAGGCTGCACAGGACCTTGTCCAGGCGGGTCTGGAATATCTCCAGAGAAGGAGACTCCACAACCTCCCTGGGCAGCCTGGGCCAGGGCTCCGTCACCCTCAGAGGGAAGAAGTTCTTCCTCATGTTCAGACGGAACTTCCTGTGCCTCAGTTTGTGCCCATTGCCCCTTGTCCTGTCACTGGGCACCACTGAAAAGAGCTTGTCCTCCTGACACCCACCCTTCAGATATTTATAAGCAT